GGAGGTAGATTATTTTCCACTATCATTCTCCCTCTATTGTAAACACTCTCTATCAATAAAGATCTTGGTCTCACACCATCTACTCTATTTTTACGGTTAACAATTTCGGTCATTATTTTTATTGCGGTTCCAGCCACTGTTCCTTGCTATGGCTCTTTATTTCATTATCTGCTATGGCTATACATACTTTTACGGTACTGATTTTCGTTTTTATCACTGTAACTTATCTATCTTGCATTTTCTTTCACTCCTATTTATGCACTACCCCTATCACTCCTAATAACATCATTCACAAATGAATGACTTCGGGAGAATAGTGTAAGGGCAGGTCCGAGGTGCTCAACCTCGGACATACGACAGTAATTCTTTTACAACCAAAGTAAAGAATAAATCCAAAGCTTCCCGCTCGAACAGAAGCATAGCAGTTACGATGGATATCCTCACATCAAATCCCGAATATCTTGCTTGGCTCAATCTCCGGGTCCCAAAATAACTGCTTAGGAGATACGCATCAAATCCCAAAATAACTGCTTGGAGATACACATCAGATCCCGAATATTTTGCTTGGCATGCCACGTGGTTTCTTCATGAGAACATATAAATTTGAGGGCCACGCCAAAAGGTAATTAAAACCAACCTTAAGCTCCTTGTTTCTCCACTCTAAAGGTAGTCCCGATTATTGCTGACTTAAGTATCGGAGTGTCTACCTCGAGGATCCACCTCGGGGCTTTGCAGGTCAATCCAGAGTGCAGATACGGACTGAAGAAGGAATTCTGGTTTGGTGCAGTTACAAGACGGTAGGGAAGATTGCAGCATGTATGATAGACCAACTCACTATCAAATTTCACAAGAAAGGATCATGAGCCACAATTTCCTTAATCTCAAATTTTAGAACCATTAGCATTGCACTTTTAAGATTCATGACCACTCTGTAACCATAAGTATCAATACCAAGTCATTTTAGGAAGTGCGGCAACACTTCAGACGCAGCTCGATGTGCTGATGGGTACCGTAATGGCGACATAAGGGAGGTGAATTGGATGTACTACGATCGCGATGTGTGCCGCCTCTACTTGTCTGGCCTTTGTCCTCACGAGTTCTTCCAATTAACGGTATTCTCCTGATTGATTCCTTCTTCTTCTTCTTCTTCTTTTTTTAATCTTTTCTTTATGTTTCGTTAATTGTTAAATGATTCATATCCATCTTTTTCCTTTTGGAACCCTAGTTTATGCATTCGAATTGCTTATCTGTGTTTGGTTTCTCAGGAATTTGATGTTTTAGAAGCAGGAGAAGTTTAGAAAGAGAGATTGGTTGAGTTGGGGTGAGTTTGGGAGCAACACATCATCTGGTTTTTTGTTATGCCCTAACTCCCAATTAAGAAGAGATGAATTGAAAGTTGTGTCATTTGTTTTATTGTGAAAAATGGGATTCTAAGATAGAGGGAGAGAGGAAAGTTGCTGAATTAGTGGTAAGCTTTTGTTACATGTATTTATGAAGACTGCTACTCGAAGCATTTTGAAAATGGTTTTTAATGAAATATAAAGAACAAGAGAAAAGAAGTGGCAGTTGTGCATGAATAGCATAAGTATGTTATTATTAGCTATTTTGGGTTAGTTTGGTAACCTATTATTTGTATAAATTAGAACAAGGGTCATGGATATAAGTTTTCTATTTTGTCATGGGTATATTTGTAAGAGATATAAATTCAAATGATAAGGATGCTGTTTCTGTTTACTTTCGATTGCTTATCCTGCTTACCTATGAGGTGTCATGAATAGTGCTATGGCATTAAATTCTCTATTTATCACAGGTATGTAAGATGTAAGACAAATAAACAAGATATTTTTGGTTGTGATCCATGTTTCTTTATAAATTTAATTAGTTTCTCCTTTACATTCCTATTTTTTATTGTCAACTTGTATGACACATATCATTTTATTTGTTGAGGAAGGTATTTTGGTGAGTTTCTTAGGTAGATACTATATGCTCTTGTAGTATTCATGGGTATCATTGTTCTTATGTGGTAAACTCTTATATGTTCAACTTTAGCTTTTGGTCACATTTGAGTTGCAGATACTTGTTTATAGTTTTCTCTGTAAGTTATTGAGACTTTGGGATTTCTGATTTCAAACTCTTGTTTTCTTTTTAAGTTATGTATAAAAGGAGGGGGTGGAGGTTGGGCAGGCTGCTAGTATTTTCTATGGAGGTTTATATGTATGAAGTGTGTCTCTTGAATTGGAACAAAGATGTGTTTTCTACCTTTCCAATTGATGACGAGTACTTGATTTGTTTTCTTTGATTTAACATGGTTATTCTTCTTTGAATTAATTGATTCAGGGTGCTGTCCAAGTTTACAACAATTGTTGTGAAGTTTTTGTTTGTCGGTTCAATAGATTTCATAAATTTTAAGATTTTATATGGTACAGGTGGATAACCATAATTGAAGTTTGACTGCTTTCCCCATTATTTCAACTCTAAGGTGTTTAATTTGTTATAAAAAGAATAGTTAAATGATTTAATCAGTATTTTTAGAGTGAGGAGACTGCCT